AGGAATATTAATTCTCCATTGATGATTATAGTTACTATCTTTATCCCATGTCCGTGTGTGTACGACCCAAAAGAGTTCAAACTAATTGGTACTGGGACGGAATTACAGACATCCGCAAATGCCAGTACAAAATAAATGACAAGAATAATCTCATAAATTACCAAATGGCAGCAAATATGAATGCGGAAGACAAAAACTGATTGTTTCCCTTTGATTGCCGGAGGGCAGATTTGAAACAATAATCGGTCTCCCAATGTACTATACGTCGATAATGCTCCCACAAGCTATTTATTTATCGTCACAGACCGTGAGTGAATAGCGGCTTAAGCGGAAGGAGACACGGTGGATCACTGAGACGAGAGGACGTAAGCTTTGAATGTGACCAAATAATACAAATACCCGTTGATTCTCTAAAAGTTTGTGACAATGGTTGGAGTACTGTGTTGTTCATTGTCCATTGTCTAAAGTTTGGTATTCACTTCGATTCCAGAGTTTGCTGTAGTTCTGTCTTAGGCGGCTGGTTCTCATCATAGTGACAGATTTTTATGATATTTTATTGTTTATGATAGTGGCAACGGTTGGTAACAAAGCCTTTTGAATAATAAGCTGGTAAAACAGGGGTAGTAAAAAAACACAAAAGTGATAGAAAGTCAGTATCAATATCTGATAAAACGTTATCATAACAAATACTTGACAAAAGATGAGATTTCAGGTTCTAACAGTGCCGACTGGATTGATATTGCGCAGTGTATTTTGGTATAAATTTACTTGCATTTCAGAGGTACTTGCTGCCTCCATCATCAGAATCGAAGAAGAGGTCATCTTCACCTAACACAAATCTTCCTATCTGCAACCACCAATTACAGCATAAAAATCCTATGACTTGCGTAAATTCTGAAACTAGATTCACATTTGCGCATTTAGTCACAGCCAAATGGCCAGAGCTGCCTTCTTCATGATGCACTGCAGTTGTTTTTACTGCAAGTCGCATTCAGTTGTTCATAGCGGAATTTAAATTAGTTACATTTGGCACCGGCCGCCGAATTAAAAGCACGTAGATGTTCACAGAAAATTGGGCAAGTAACTCGGTATTGTTTGTGGAATAATTTCTGACGAACACGAAAATTCTGCAAGCATTCTCATTTTCGAACCCTTCTGCTTTTGTAACAGTTACTGTGTTATATTAATGTAAGTCACGAAGCGGTGTCGATCTGTGGGCCACTGGTCCGGAAACATTGGCTTAGAAGGCATCAAAGGATCTATATAATCCGTTTAAACATGGCCACAAAACACGGAATCATAAATAATACTTTAAAAATAAGTAATTGCTCGCACGTGCTGTATGCCTGCAGAACTGTCGCACCATCTCCCAAGACAAAATTGCAAGAGAAGTTGCCGACCACGGCAGGCTGTAGGCTGAGCGAGACAGATCCAGTTTCAAATACGTTTCCTATTCTGCTTCTGATATTACAATAAAATAAGGCATGTTTTGTCAGTATTATCTTAAAATCCTTTCTGGAATATGTCCTCAGGAAAGTCGAAGGTAACCAGGAGGGGCTGTAACATACTGATCTAAACTAAGTGATCGCATATTCAGATTATGTTCATAAATTATCTCACAAACGAGTCAAGAAATTGGTCTAGAAGTAGACACAGATGAAAATGAATACATAAAGAATGTTATATTTAGAACACATTCCTAATTAGTTTATATGGACCCCTTCACACACACAGAACTTCTAAACCAATGGCAATATTGAATTCTAGCAGCCGCGGCCCGTTGTCGCAGTTAATGCACTGCTTAGAATCGGTACGGCCGTAATTTCAGCTGTTTTATCGCGCCATAAGCACTTGTTACAGATAAACACAAAAAATGTCTAAAAATGTTGTTGCCAGTCGGTGTAATGTTATCTTATTCGGCATTTCCTTATTATGTTCGCACAATTGGCGTGAACAACGGCCTAGCAACTAGAGTGACCTTGATTCGAGTATCACGGTAGAGGTTGGGAGAGTCAGTTATGGTGGGGGGTTAATTTTTGTGTTGTGGTTGTGTTTGGGCTGCGTTTTAAACGGTACAGCCTGTGTCAACACTACGTGAGAAGGTACATACTGGGATAATCAAATACAGAAGGACGAGATGGGGCATCTATATAGCACGCATGACTGAGAAAAATGCTTACATTTAGGTCTCAAAAAAGACAGATTTTTTAACACGCTGAGCGACTGTTAGATTCTCAAAAAGAACTCTACTGTATGGAGATAGTTCGTTATTTGAAAACTAATGGTTAGAGTCAATTAAAAGCTGAAGACAGAAACGCTAGTGGAATTTCATTAAAGAGACATGTGTACGGGCAGACAGAAATATATCGATCAGAGTTTCCTACACGGGATTTTATCCATCGGGGGAACGCTCTGTCCGGAATTACAGAAGCACGCACTAGCCGTTCGCTCACCTTAGTCTACTCTCTTTGTCTCGTCGAGGTAAATTTGCTAAATTAGCCCCAACAACACAGTTGCTAGGGGTGGAGATTACTCATCGCTCATCTGTGAGCAGCTCACTTCAGTGGGGATTAGCTGCTGTACGCCCTCAGCCAGCATACAAAATGCATCACCATTGACAACCCAAGCTAATGACCACCGCTACAATGCAGAGTTCTTAAGAAAAAGATAACTGTCGCTCTGCCTATCAAAATTAGCAGGAATTTTATAGAAGCAGAAAATACATTATTGGACTCTACCCTGAACTAAACAAATCCAGCCCACTTCTCCAGACCCTATTTCTAATAATCATTTTAATATTCTCCTCTCATCTACACTTATCTCCTTTCAAATTTTTCGACCAAAACCTTGTTTGTATTTCTTATTTCATTAATCTGTGCTGTATACCCACCCCATCTCATATTTCCTTATTTAATTACCCCCCAAATAATTTGGGTCAAATTCAAATTTTGAAGATCATTTTGTAATTGTCTTCATTCTCCTGATAGTTCACCTCTCTTAGGTCCAAACATTATCCTGTGTTCCCTGTAAACTAAGAAACAAACACAACAGCTCATATAAAAGTCCATATCTCAGATGTTCTGAATACGTAATCCAGTTCTCATCGCGACTATCGATTGTTCCCTCATACATAAACTATGTAAAGTTCTAGAAGACAGTACTGAAGGGCTGAAAATGGATGCCTGCCCTCGAATATTATACACGCCACATAATAACCGGAGTTATGAATACTTTGTAATAGCATCCTCCCTCCCCCAAGCTACCGCAGTCTAACTGATGAATATGATTTAGGCTCGTAGAAGGGTGTGGAGAAAGGGTGGGTGGGGGTTGAACTGCCGCTGGCGCAAGTACGATTAATAAGCGAAAACCACGTTCGAATTTACCGAAACACAGCAGACTATTTAGCTCACTCTACTCAAATTAACTTCTGAATCCATTCAATTTGTAAATGTGGTTCTGTTGTTATAATTTTTAAATAAGTTAGTATCACTGGATTTTATTCCGTTATAAGGTCAAAAGTTGACATGCAACATTGGTATCCACCTACAACTTCGTCTCACAGAGCTAACCTTATTCACTGGACCCCAAGCTTTTAACCTAACGGTGCAAAAAAAAGTTCCCAAAACGTTGTGTTATATATGGAATAGCCTACTAGATGATGAAGGAATTCTACAAATTTAGTAAAACTAATGTAAATAATATACGTCAGAAACTTCGGTTATAATAAGAAGACATTTCTTAACCAGCTAATTATTATCAATTACTCAACAGCCATGAAAAATTATAAATTCTGAACAAACCACAAAATTTGAATATGTATTCATTTATTCAACATCCTGTTCTACTCGGTCAAAGTATTTTAGAATAATAGACTCACTCATTCCATGAAGCAAACTCCTTCTCGAGATACTAACACTCGCTGTTAGCTAAAAAATTATCTAGTTATAGAAAAATTACCATTACCATGCTTACAGGAGCCCAATTCTGAACTCTATCTTGAACCACATGAATCTAATTCTCATCCCCACATGTTATGTCTAACATATTCATGTTAATTAATCTTTTATCCTCCCACCTGTCGCTCTCAAAATTTATTTTCCTTTTAAGTTTTGAGACTAAAATTTTAGAATGTATTTTTCATCTCTCGCGTCTTACGTACGGTAATGAAAATCTCAGAACCTGTACTCCACTGGAGTAAATCCTTCATGAACATTAAAACACAATTGTTTCATCGTAATTTCTGCAGTGAGTTCAAAGTGAGATTTGTGTGAAGTTTCGAATAACGTAGTGGGTGCAGTAAGTCAAATCGTAACAGAGGTCGAAGACGAGGCGGCTGACACAAAACTAGGGCACCACGTAACGGATCGAATTGACTTTAAACCCCGTAACAACAAGCAACATGGATAAACATCCCCAGCACTATCTAATCTTTTACACATTATATTAATTCATGGCCAGACAAATAATGTACAAACAAAATCTAATTATAATGGCGACAGAGGTATTATGCAATCCCAACCAACTAATTTAGATCTTTTTATGTTTTCGTTTCCCATACAAACATAAATGTAATACAGCTGACCGGAAGTTGAATTGCACTATGAATGAGTGTGAAACTTGGTCTCTCATATTGCAGTTGAAAACAAAGTGCTGATAATATTTGGACATAATAAATATGAAGTAACGAGAGGAAGAATAAGAAAATTACATAATAATGAACTTCATTATGTGCAAATTTATAAAATATTTTGGGTCTATCAGTTCAAAGAGGGTAAAATGGGTACGACACGTGGAATATGAGAAATGCATAGGAAATTGTAAGGGAAGAGACCACTACAGAGACCTTTCCATATTTAAGATGATAATATTAAAGTGGGTCTTAAATATATTGTAGATTTCGGACTGAATTCAACTAGCTCAAGAGAGGGTAAAGTGGCTGGCTGTTGGGCAAACGATAATAAACTTTTGATTTCCATAGACTATTAAAATTTCTTGCAAACCTCAGTCACTGCAATCTTCTAAAGGATTCCATTTTGATGAGTTTCACAATTCTGTTCACGGTATGCCTCAAGAGCCAGTCCCAATGTGCGTTGTCCATTTAACAATATCAAGACTAATCCGACACGCCGATTATAAATATACACTTCACTTATGTGACGCACGAAGTCTATCTAAATATCACTTACAAGTTCCTACCTCAAAGAAAACACAACGCGACTTAGTGAAACATCAGTAGGTACACTTCTACCAGAATACACGACACAATAACCCACAACACAGCACTCTTATTAAAATGCCGAACGTGTTCCGTTAGGAAGATGAACTGGTTAATGCTGCTTTGGGGAATAATCGCTGTTTACACTGCGATCATACAAAACCAGTAAATATACTCTGTGGAGAAAATGCAGAGATATTGAAAGTTAAAGTAGGTGGTACATACAAGCTACCTATTTGCTTTGAACAGTTGACTGGAGTTCTGCGTACCGATATGCAATGAGAAGGGTGACCTCGCAAAAAGACGTTGACTTTAGTATCAACTGAAGAGAGACGGATTTTCCCATTTGAGTTAAAAGAAAGTTTGGGTCTATGCTCTAGAGTGAAGTCTTTCTTCGTCTGTAGTTTCAAAACGGGCATTCTTCCGTACGGAAGCTATTAAACCAAGACATTCGAAATATTTAGGGAATAAGAACATTATATCGGTGTTGCAATCGCAGTGTTTTTTTAAATAAAGGTAAAGTTGTCCCTTTTTTAAACACCACGACATGGATACTTTGGCAGAAGTAAAGCTCCACGTATTCAACTCGGCGCCAGATGAAGTAGCTAGCTTTAAACTCTGCTCATTATATCCCTGAGAAGGACCTAATTCAAGTGTTTTCTCTGGGACAGAGCACTGCATGAAACGTATCAAATTACCCGAACTAGGACTAAATTCAGAGCAAGTCAGAACTGTTGTAAAGGGAATTCACTCCGTGGCAATAATAATGAATGGCACTTCGTTAACCCCAAAAATCGCATAGTTTGTAGGAATATTCTTCCCGACTTTTACACTTTATACTTTTCTTAAATGGAAAATTCATCGACTTATTCAACGCCATGAATCTCTCAATATTTTACGGGATTCGTGGGAATACATTTCTACCTGCGAAACAATAACACCGTCATATAATTCGTAGGGGAATAAAAGCATTTCCCGCCAATACAACAACCCTGCAGACATGTATCACCTGCCAACGGACTGATTCCTATGTTTTGGTGCATCTAAAGCCTGGTGGCCGGATCAATACGTATCCACCCAAACCTTGCGTGCAGCATGTCAACACCCCCCCCCCCCCCCCCCATGGCCTTTAAATAACTGCCTCCTATTTGCGTTGGCGTCTCCTACTTCTGACCAGACATCGTACGAGACTTCTGTTGTCACCATCAAATTGAGAGGGTCCAAGACCTAGCCCAGACTGCGAGAGGAAATCTGGTAATGTTTCAAGAACTAGTACATACTCGAGGAAACTTGGAGAAAATGTCTGGACACGTTAAAAGAATGGATGAACATAAACACCACAACGATTATTGAAAATGAAGATGAGTGGAAGAAGACCCAATTATAGACCACGCACATGGCGGATAAACCAAACACCAGGCACAATCCAATATTCGGCTGGAACACGACTTTTGAAATGTCAAGCCAAATAAAAGGGTCACTCTGGACCAGAAAATACTAATACACTTAACACACTCTTAAGTCAACTGATATAATTTCCAACAGGTTAAATAATACTGGTTACAGATGTGGTATATGAATACGCATTTACTAGAATCTCCCAAGAGGAATTACTGTCCACAGATTGAAAGTTGGTAAAGCACTTGTGGGGAAACAAATGGCTTTTGTCATTCTATCACCAACATGAGCTTTCACTTGAGTTGTACCAACACATACAGCTGTATTGGCATGTGTACTAGCAGCTGATATAAATAAAACTGCTTTGTCATCTATCTGTGAACAGTATGTCAATTCAGTAAAGTCCTTGCCTGTACAATTCACATCTGCACACTTATTAAGGATGACAGATGCCCAATAAAATCTTCTCGGGCAACCGGCCGCATCAACTGGGCAGAATACCTTGGTGGCATACAATAAATGGAAAATTGCAGATAAAGGACACTGGGAATATGAATGTAGGTTGCACGTTATACACTCCATATTTAATTTTATAATTGTCATCATTGTTATTATTTGCTCAATTATTGTACATTAAAGGTTTTCACAGTGACATATGGAGGTGCAATATTATGCAATAAAAGCAAATGTGAGTCCATCAGCTTATGAGGATAAACGCAAAGCAAAAAAATAAAATGCATAATACCAGTTTATAAAGCAATGAGTGACAAGTGAAAGCTGAAACATGATCATATAATCTGCTAGAGAGATAAATCATTTCTGCTTAACATCAAGTATTATTGTTTGGCATTAACATACTTCCACATGATCAGTGCCTCAATAATTTAAGCTAAATCCCCACCTTAAGTTAGATTCTGTAACATTGAGACCACGCTGATACACACTACTGCAGCTAGCATCATATGGCGTCAAAAGTCGATCCATGCCCAGCACTGTTACAGTTATGCTCGAGGTAACAGGGAACTATGTACACAAAAATACTTCATGTCAACTTGTCACAACAGCTGAAATTTGTGAGCTGCTGAAAGCACAAGAAGCTTAGGTACCAGTACGTACTAATACAGTTAATCACCACAAGTAAACTTGAGTATTAATTTGCATAGAAGAATTTTACAAAATACTTACAAATTTGTACAAACATTCTAAAGCCATATTTAATGTGATTACATTCAGGATTAAGTTTTATTCATATATTAAAAAAAACAATCCCAAAACTGGGG